ATGGAGTTCTAAAGAAATAGCTATGAGTTTGGTCGACTGGAACAATGGAATTAGTCAAAAATAGGGCTCAAAGTGGGCGAAATCGCCGATTTGTAAATATCGCTGAGGTCGCTAACTTCGCGAGCGTAATTCTGTCAGTTTTCCATAATTTTTTTTTTTTTTTTGTGTCATTACAATCGGGAAAAGATTCTCTATCATTTCATAAGGAAAATAATTTTTTTTTTTTTTTTTTTTGAAATTTTGTGACACCAGGAGACACCTCAGGATTGGGGGTTGCGACAGTCAAGGGGTTAAGCAAACAATGTCAGAGTATTGCTTTTCCAATAATAAAATGCATGGCATGGGATTTTTTAGTACTGTGCACATTCACTACACAGACCCATTCTCCCATATCTAGGCTAAAATTTGCCGCTCACAGCTCACCTGAAGGAGCTGTGCTCAAAACATAGATCTACGTGAAGGACCCTTGAATCAATAACGTAGATCTATGTGCAGTCACACAAAGGGTTAATAAAGCCCATAACTGCTGAAAATTTGAAGCTGAATCCAATGATTTCAATTTTTTTTTTTCTTTTAGCTATGTTAGTGAATTGTCAAAGTTGTCTCTACTCAATCTAGACTTACTGTGTACTGTACTATCTTGTTTGTAGGATGAATCAGCTGCCAAATGCTGAGTAGTTGAGCTAGAGGTTAGTAACAGTTGTGTTTCTGTACTTGCTATTTATTTGCCTAGTTCTTTAAAAAGAGACTGATTATTAGCTCCCGTGCCTTCTGCTAACCTGTGTATGCTAGATGTTTGAGGAAGTTGAGTTTTATCTACCTAGTTGTACGTGCTTGCTTGATGAGGTTAAGCTCCAACTCCAGATGTTTCTACTCACCTACATGAGGTGAGTAGAAACTTAGTTGTTTGGAGGGGGGGAGGGTGTCGAGATCCAGTGCCTGGCCTTCCTACTAGTTTTGTTTTTTCAACATGCTGAGAAAAAGCCCCTGGAAGCTGATATCTACATGTACAGTGGTACCTCGAGTTTTGAACAACTCTCAACTCGAACAATTATGTAAGTGTATTTTTTAAAGGGCCTTTGTAAGTGTATTTTTGGGGGTCTGAAACAGACTAATCTAATTTACATTATTCCTAATAGGAACAAATTTGTTCGATATCGGCACTTGAACAGCTTTCTGGAATGAATTAAGTTTGTAACTCGAGGTACCACTGTATTTGAGAGGGGTCGATAGTGCTGTATGACCCACCTGGGTTTAGCACTTTCTTGTAAATATAATAACTGACGGGGAGTCTAGCTCTAACTGCAGACTTTGTTACTTGTACAGTCATTTAAAGAGGTTAGGCAACAGCTCCTGGACCTATTACATGTCCAGTATTAGTATTTTGAGCAACCCTAATTGAAGCATTGCTTGAATTCATTTAGTACAGTATTCCATATATTTACCACCACTGAAATAGATTAATTCTGCAGTTTACAGAATAATTTAGTATTTACAACAAAAATACTTTTGCCTCAAATAACATCAATTCCAACTCACCATATATGAATTCTATCAAAAATTACAGCATAATTAGCCAAGGTTTGAGATAACAGAGGGGTAACATGTTATCAGGGTTGAAGTTAAACTACAACTGACTACACATGGAATTGTGGGCCTTGCCCAAATTCTCCAACATTTGCATATCCTATGTATATGATTTATTCTAGCTATCAACTATGCCAACAAAATGCCCTGAAACATATACAGTGGACCCTCAGTTAATGACATTAATCCGTTCCAGAGAGCATGTCTTTAACCGATTCTGTCGTTATCCGAATTAATTTTCCCCATAAGAAATAATAGTAATCCAATTAATCCGTTCCAGACACCCAAAAGTATTAAAAAAAAAATTTTTTTTTTGCATGAAATATACATTTCCCTACACAGAAAACAACGAGACATGCAGAATTAATACATAAATTATTATTATTATTAAAGATTAGCCAGTATTCTCCTGGCCCGGGCCTTTTCCAAGTGGTGGCCCGGCCTTGGCTCCCTCTTTAGGGAGTGTCTGAGACCTAAGTCTCCCATGGGAGGAGGCACAAGTACCTCCTCATCTTTGGGACCAACTGTCCCCAGGCCTAGCCACAAGCTAGGCCTCTCTGTTCTGCCATCCCCGCCCCAAGGGAGCTAATGGGAATGACAGTCTTATGAGCTAAAGGCTCGGGCTCAGGCACCTACCCTACCCTAGAAGGGTTAGGCATGGTATCGATGTTAATACATAAATAAATAATAAAATGACACTTACCTTTATTGAAGATGTATTGATGAGTGATGAGATGGGAGAGAATGGAGGAGTTTACAATTGTTTGGAAGGGGAATCCCCTTCCATAAAGACTTCTGGTAACAAGTCCTTTTCTGGGGTTACCTCCCCTCTTTGTTTTTTAACACCACTAGGACCAGCTTGAGAGTCACTGGACCCCTGTCGCACCAAAAATCTGTCCAGAGAGCTCTGTTTCTGGCGTCTCTTTAAGATTTCCCTAAAATGGAACACAATGCTGTCATTGTAGATGTTGCCAGTACAGCCTGCAACAGCTGTGTCAGGGTGATGTTCATCCATAAATGTGTGCACATAAGAAAGCATCAACACTGCAGCAGGCCTGTTGGCCCATACTAGGCAGGTCCTTCACAAACCATCCCACTAACAGAATCGTATTTGCCCAACTCAATCTTCAATGCTTCCCAAGCAATAAGCCTCGATAATTCTATTTACTCATGCGCAAGTCCCAATCAAATCAAATCGTGTGTGTGTGTGGGGAAGTACCCTGTCTGGTATGTGGGAAAGTACCCCTGGCTGGTGTTTGGGGAAGTACCCTGGCTGGTATGTGGGGAAGTACCCTGGCTGGTGTGTGGGGAAGTACCCTGGCTGGTATGTGGGGAAGTACCCTGGCTGGTGTACATAAAAAAGCAGTAACACTGCAGTAAACCTGTTGGCCCATACTACTACCCTCTACCACCATCACTACTGCCACCACTTTCGTATCTTTCTACAAATTTTTCTTGAATTCTATAGTGTTTCTCACCCTCTTTACCAAAGGGCTGGCACTAGAAGCTTTCTTTGGGCCCATGGTGGCTTATTTAACAGTTACTAGCACTAAAAAATGGAATAATACAAAATGTATTGCAAGTTTATCCTCACTGGCTTGTAAACAATAGCACACTGGCTGTACATGGAGTGTCCAGGTGCTCACTCTGCAGGGACACGTTCGGGATGATTGTCTTTGATAAATTAGACACATGTGCAACTCCTGGGTATCTTTATTGAGGAAACGTTTCGCCACACAGTGGCTTCATCAGTCCATACGTAGGAGAAACTTGAAGAACAGGAGGAGAATGAGGTAATCAGTCCCTCAACCTTGAATCGATGTGTTCAGTCCATCAATCTTGAATAGAATAAAGATACCCAGGAGTTGCACATGTGTCTAATTTATCAACATGTCGGTTCTCTGAACCATTCATCTACAAACGATTGTCTTTAACCGAGTTTTTTGTCGTTAACTGAGCCAATATTTTGACGAGAAAACGTGTCGTTATCCAATGACGTCGTTAACTGAGGGTTAACTGTATCTTAATACCTGAGGATTTAAAACAGGGGTCAGTGCTCCTGCAGCCCAGTCCATGACCAGGCTGTACAGTGTTGCCAATGGTCCACATCTCCCAAATTATGAAATTAATATTTCATGATTGTCCAATTGTTTTCTGAAGCAGTGGACCTGATCTACGGATGAAGAAGATGAGCAGACACTAAGAATGTGTGTATTGTAACCTGCAGTTCTAGAGTACAATACTGTACTGTATAAAAATTCTATAGTACTCTATGTAATTTTACTCACCTTTTCATGGTGGAGAGATGAAGTATAACTGCCATCGTCAATATTGATGACTAAGAATAACATTCTGAGTCATCAATAACATTTATTCCGAGTCAAAATAACATTTATTCTGAGTCAAAGAAGCTTTACAGCTTCTCTGACTACATTATGTGGTCAGGTGCAGAGGCCAGAGAAGATGTATATTTCTGAGAACCACACATTTTCTCTTAGCACCGCCACTTGCTTTAGAAGCTACTGATAATAGCACCTTGGCTTTTATATTAATAGTCACACAAAATGCTTTAAATCCAGGGAAAATTAGAGACTGAATGATGAGTGTATGCATGAGTGAGCACAAACTGGCGTGGGTGGCCTACAGCTCGGGGAACAATGGAAATGTACAGGTTCTGGATATGGCCACTATGGCCTATACTGGACAGATAGAGTTAGACTTGCCCCAATGCTTCAGAAGACAACCAAACACTATTGCTATGGATAAAATGCAGAATTACCTAATATTGTCCAATACTTAAGGTCATATGTCTGGCCAATATTTTGTCCAAAATTGCCTAAATCTATTAATGAGAGGTTTTACTATATTTTTTATATAAAATTATCTTTTTCTTCTTCTTTCAACAAATCGGCCATATTCCACCGAAGCAGGGTGACCCAAAAAGAAAAACAAAAGTTTCTCTTTTTAACTTTAGTAATGTATACAGGAGAAGCAGTTATTAGCCCCTTGAACCCGGCATTTTAGTCACATCTTATGACACGCATGGCTTACAGAGGAAGAATTCTGTTCCACTTCCTCATGGAGGTAAGAGAAAATAAACAAAAATTAGTAAGAAAATAGAAGAAAACCCAGAGGGGTGTGTATATACATATGCTTGTACATGCATGTGTAGTGTGATCTAAGTGTAAGTAGAAGTAGCAAGACATACCTGAAATCCTGCATGTTTATGAGACAGAAAAAAGACACCAGCAATCCTACCATCGTGTAAAACAATTACAGGCTTTCGTTTTACACTCACTTGGCAGGACTGTAGTACCTCCCTGGGAGGTTGCTGTCTACCAACTTACTACCTAGATAAAATAATCATTATAATTAAAAATAACTGCAGAAAATGCATAGAATATTACAAAATGTATATCTTATCATTCTTTATTGATATAATAAAATTTAATGACTATTTTGAAACAAAAAAATTACAATAGGTTTAATAACTTAATTTTTCATCAGATGAGTTCCTTGACCATGGCAGCCGTGTGGTCAACACCACAGCTAACTTTTATAATCTGTCCACCAATGCAAACCTGAAAAAGTATACAGGTTCTGCTGAGGTTCTAAAAATTATGATATGGAAATTATTCATTAGCTAAATTAAATATGTATAGATGACTGTGCATTATCTACTTTAGTCTCATGAAAAATGACATGACAGACACAGTAATTCAAATTCAAAGTTTATTCTCTATAAAGATTACAATGTTGAATTTACAGAATTTGGTTGTTGTGTGGTTTACATGTAGTTAAATAATGATTACAGAGTGTACCACTAGAACGCCTAGCATGGCTAGGCATTTCGGGCAGACTTAGTTTAATTCTTTATTTTAAAATATTACAAATTATGAGGTAAGTTGGTATTATGGCTAAGTGACTAAATACTAGTTTGTGAGTTTAGCAATGTGAATGCTTTTGTTTTGGCACAGTACATAGTTTCAGTATTGGAGTATCATAGGATTCATTATTTTAAGATTGAGATTAATATTTCTGTTTATGGTCAAATGGGTGAGTGAGTGTAAGTGTGAACCACCAGGTGGTATTCGTGTATTAGTTGAGGGGGTTTATCAGGGAGATAAGATGTTTTCTAATGGTATTTTTTGAAGGTGATGAAGGGCCCGCAGTTCTAAAATTTCCTCGGGTTTAGGGTGTTCCAGATTTTAGGGCCTTGACATACATTGAATTTTTGTAAAGGTTTAGTCGACATGGGGAATGTCGTAAGATGTTTGTGTCCTGGTTTTAAATGCCTGTGGGTTCTGTCACAACTATCAAGAAAGCGTTTTAGGTCAAGTTGATATTGGAGTTTAAGGTCCTGTGGATGTAGATTGCACAGTAGTAAGTGTGGATGTACTGAACAGGGAGTAAGTTTAGATCTAGAAGAGTGGGGGGGTGTGTTGCCAGGGATGGGATTTAGTGATTATTCTTACTGCAGCTTTTTTGTGGGTTATTATTGGCTTGGGTGTGTTGCGCAGTTGATCCCCAAGCACAAATAGCATAGGTGAGGTATGGATAAATAAGTGAGTGGTATAGTGTGATAAGGGCATTTTGCGGCACGAGTATCGTATCTTGGAGAGGATCCCAACTGTCTTGGATACTTTTTTTGGGTTTTATTGTTGGATATGGGTGCTGAAATTCAGGTTGTTGTCAAGGTATAGGCCTAGGAATTTGCCCTCATTATGCCCGGTAATTAGAGTGTTGTCAATCTTAATGTTAATTTGTGCATCTCCTGCCTCTGCTACCAAACATAATATAGTAGGTTTTGTCAGTGTTAGCGTAAGTTTATTGGCTGTCATCCAAGTCGATATTTTGATCAGCTCCTCGTTAACAATGGTGTTGAGGGGCAAGATTAGGGGGAGAGATGACATAAGTCGTGTCGTCAGCAAAGAGAATGGGTTTCAGGTGTTGGGATACGTTTGGAAATCATTGATGTAAAAGAGGAAGAGCAGGGGACCAAGGACACTTCCCTGCGGAACTCCCCGTATCAAGTGGCCGTGTTTTTTGATGCTGTCCTTTAATGGTAAAAATACTGATACCTATTAGTAAGGGAAGATTTAAATAACAAGCGCATGGCTCTTATACTGTAATGGTCAAGTTTGTGGAGTAGGATGTCGTGGTCTACTGTCAAAAGCTTTTCTTAGGTCAATAAAAATTCCTAGTGGATATTCCTTATTTTCCAATGCTGTGTAAAGCAGATCTAGCATTTTTATGATTGCATCATTAGTGCTTTTATTTTTCCTAAATCCAAATTGGCAGGGGTTGAGTATATTTTGTGCTCTTATAAATGAATATAGTCTCCTGTGCACGAGTTTCTCAAAGATTTTGGATAGCAATGGTAAGTTTGATATTGGCCTATAGTTGGTTTAAGTCTGTAGGGTCACCATCTTTATGTATGGGTGTAACCCTTGCCATCTTGAGTAGTTTCGGGAAGGTGCTAGTTTCTAGTGACTTGTTAAAAAGTAATGAAATAGCATGCGAAAGGATATGGGCCGCTCGCTTGTACAGTAATGGTGGGACATTAGACAGATTCCCTGAGTTGTTTTTAAGTGACTTTATAATCTCGGTAGTCCCCGGCATGGGCATTAGTATGTGGGATTTTATTGGCGAGATTAGATCCTATGGTTGAGAAGAAGTCGTTTATCTTGTTAGCTGTGTCAGTGGGATGTAGTGGTGTTTCATTAGGTTTAGTTAGGACAATATTCTTGTTTTTTTTCAGTTTGTGGGTCCCTAGAATCTGAGTGTTTTCCAGGTCTTTTTTATATCTCCTCTAGTGTCTGTGAATCTATTGGAGTAGTATAGTTGTTTGGTTTTCTTTATTACTTTGGTGAGAACTGATGAATAGTGTTTAAGAATATCTTTGTGTATTAAGCCCTGTCTATATTGCTTTTCATATTGTTGTTTCTTGTCAATGGATTTCAGAATGGTGCTGGTTAGCCATGGGCAACCAAGCCGTTTGTTTGTGATCTGTTTCGTTTTTATAGGACAATGTTTGTTGTATAGTCTAAGTAATTTGTTAAGAAAAATGTCTGTCCAGTCATCAATACCATTGGCCTTGGAGAATTCTGTAGGCCAGTCAACAATCTCTAGGTCAGTTGTGAACTTCCTTATTGAGGCCTCGTCATGGAGTCTAAATGAGACTTTGTTGTATTCAAGTGGTGGTTTATTAATGTTTGTCAGGAGGAAGGTAGGGTATTATTATTATAATCAAAAAGAAGCGCTAAGCCACAAGGGCTATACAGCGCTGCAGGGTAGGGAAGGAAGCAAGGGAATTGGATGGCAGAAGGGAGGGGGGATGATCAGCAGGTTACAGAAAACAGCGGGGCAGGGGATAGTACGGGGGTAGAGGGTAGCAAGAGATTGAAGTAGAAAGGGCTGAAGGTATCAGAATTTGTGAAGTAAGTCAGTCGTTGTCAAAAAGTCAATGAGAGAGTCCGGATGAAAGGTGGGTCCATCAGCGAGAAGGGAAGGTAAAGAGAGAGCAGCGGAGCGAAGACGACGACAGAGGTAAATTCTGCGTGCTCGTTGATAAAGTGGGCAGTCCAACAGAATGTGGCTGACTGATAAGGATTTTGGGGCAATTCTCACAGAGAGAGCAAGATCCCCTCCCGGGAAATATCCTGAGAAAGACGAGTAGCCAATCAAAAGACGGGAGGATATCCCCAAACCTCGACACTGTGATAAACGGCCAGTAACCTATACCGTTTAATTTGATTGAATTTTTTGCCAGCATAGTAGCCCAAGGGTTTTTTCCCAAAGGGGTGTGAAGGTGGGAAAAATTTTTGCAGCAAAAAGTCCGAAAAAGGGAATACCTCTAAAGAAACGGGTGGGCATGTACTGCTGACCGCAGCAGTGTCGCCGTTCATTCCCTTACGTCAACATGGCCGGGACCCAACAAAAAACAATATTTTTATGTTTTGGGTAAAGAGGGGCGTACCCAAAAGTTGGTGGGAGGACAAGGGTAGGTTTGTTAAAATTTTTTTTATAGCCTGTAAAGCACTAAGGGATCTGAGAAAACCCCAAATGATGCACAGGCATAATCAATACGGATAAGTGCTTAAGGATGGCATATAATTCAGCATAAAAAACTAGCCGAAGATATAAACCCCCTTGTACGACGTGTCCGGAAACACTGCGCAACCACGCCGTCAGAAGACTTTAGACCATCGGACACAGCAATGCATAAAAAGAAAGTGAAAGGGTCAAGAAAAAGAGAGCGGGAAGCGACCGTAACAGTTGGGCTTTCGGCAAGGGGGGGAGAAAAACACCGAACACTGGAACTTCCGGGGGGGTGGGGAGAAGGAGTGCTACATGTACATAAAAAAGGTGGTATTAAGAGAAGACAAGAGCGAAGAAGGCGAAGAGAGAAGGAGGGAGAAAACAGGGCGGCGAAAAATAAAGAAGTCACAAATATCAGTGACCATTCTAAAATGGAAGGATTGGGAGATCAGAGAGCGTACATAGTACGCGGGCAATGGGCATCACGGCGATCGATAAGGAGGGAACGTTCGCTTCTGCATAGGGGCTCCGACGGGGGAAAGCAAAAAGGGCACCAAGGCTAAACGTAATCCTTGGTATGAGGGGGTTTAAGGGCTAGAGAGAGTAGCAGGAGATGCCGCTAAATAGACGGGTACCATAAAAATTTCGATAAAATAAGGGTGGAATGTAGGCGAAGGGGGGTTCGACGATCACTCCCCAGAAAATGAAAAAGGGTTTTTTAAGAGGTTCAGCCGCTTGACAAGTTGCCTTCGGAGGTAATTGGGGTTTTCCAGGATAACCTACATCAAAAGGAGGCCCAAAAAACTTGACTGTTCAGCAGGGAACGGGAGCCATAGAGTACAAAGGAGATGGGAGATACAACGCAGTAAAAGTGATTTGGGGGTTTTGTGCGGGAAAATTTTAAACCCCGTGTGGGGGCCCAAATTGGAAACAGGGCGCTGCAGTTGGAGAGAAACTGAAGGAGGTACAGCAGTGCCTGCACGGCAAAGCGAATCAATAAAACATAAGTGATGACCAAATATTTGATGGAAGACTAGAGGCCAATCATTAATAGCAAGGAAAAAAGTGTTGTGCTCAGAAACATCCCGGGGGGACCCTTCAGCTTGGATAAAGTCCGGGAGACACATTATTAACCCAACACGGAAAGCCTTCATTTAAAAAATTTTTAAGGAAGGATGGAAATTTGCCTTGAAGGCCAAAGGGGAATGGCTTGGAAAAAATTTTAACCTCCAATTTGTGTCATTCCTTCTCAAGGCAAAAAATAGGGCAAAACTGAGGGGTTTATTCGAAAAGGCTTTACGAACATACGTACCAAGCGAGTAAGGGTCTAGGGTAGAACTCCCTTAGAAAGCCATTTTGACGAGTGGGAGACGTTGTGTTCCTAAATCCCCACCTAAACATCTTTTACTAGGCGTTCCTTTACTTAAAACTGCACGGTAAGACAATGGCATTGGGAGGTTTCATGCCCGAGTGCCTGGTTTGCGGAAAGGGAGAAAAAGGGGCGGTTTTCCACAGCTGGGGAAGAACTCCTTTGTGACCAAATAAGATTTTAAAGGGTAATAGGATGAAGGGCTGACGTGTAAATGTTGTAGCATACGAAATGAAGTCGTGGGGCCCCCAGCGCCGATGATCGACAAGCTGAGAGTGTTGCCTCCATTTTTAAATGTAAAAGGCACATATACTGTTTTTCTCGGGAAGAAAAAATCCAAGGGTGCTAACCTCGGCAGATTTTGAGGAAAGAAATAGGGCTAGATGGAGCCCGAAAATAGGGACCGATTTTCCCAAATTTTCATTGGCAACACAGGGGTTTTTTCTAATCAAAACCGCAACCCGAAACGGGAGCCGGGTCAGGAGAAATTTTTCCCACTCATTTTCTACTTTTTTCCAGACTGCACTCATAGAGGAAGAAAGGGGTGATGGGGGAGACATAATCTCGCCAGCAAGTGCTTTTAAGCGTCACGGATGACACGGGGGGCGATTGAAACGCTTCTTTTTAAAAATCAAGGAGTCGCTCTGTGGTTCTATTGTACCGTCCTCCCCCATGCACGCTTTTCAAACGACTGCACGAGCACAACAGGAACCCCCAAAAGGCACGCTTTTTCGAAATGCCTGCCCGAATTTTGGGGTAAGAATGAAAAAGCGCGGTAAAAACGGGGGACAAGAAAGGTGAAAAGCTCACGATGGAGGACGAAAAGGAACCTTTTTAAAAACAGTTGGGTGTGAGTAAATTTCCCAAATTTGCCCGTTTAAAATTTGCCAGCGTGGGGTCAAAAGGGGTGGCAATATGGGGGGAATAAAAATGTTTTGGGAAATGACCTGTCATGTAACCCGGGAGAACAACCAAGTGAAGTCAATGCGGCGGGGAAGAGCAGACTGAGAGATCGATCAAGAAAGAATGAGTCCGGGATCAAAAGGGGTGTGAGTACCTTTTTTAAAACAGGAGGGGTGGGGGCAAGAAAAAGCCTCTAACTGAATTCCCGGGAATCACAGTGAACCCCCCCCCAGAGGAAATGGGGGGCATAAAAACCCCAAAGAAAACAGAAGGTGGGGTAATGACAAAAAAGGGAAGGCAAAACCCGGGAAAGAAATCCCCAAAGGAAGAGAGAAAAGAACAGGCGTATACCACCATGAAAGTGGAAAAAGGGCCTGTTAAGCAGCGAATATAACAAATAGCTGATGGAAAAGGGAAATCTGCGGGAAGAAGGGCACTTTCATTAAAGGTCCCATCGGGAAAAGGATCGAAGAAAAACAATAAATTATACCTGAGTTGAAAAAACAGCAGAGTGAAATTTTGGTTCCTTAACAAACACCAACGGGGGAAACTGGGGGAGTAACACTGAAACTCACCCCGATTACCCCAGGCCGCTATATTTCCCCTGAAAAAGCCTGATTGGCAAAGAAAAAGATACTAAATCCGCAGTAAGGGGTTTCCCACGGACTAAAGGGTTTTGAAAAGCCACATGCGGGGGCAGTGGGAAAAAGTTCAACAGCGAAGGGAAAGGGGGCCTGTGAAGAAAAGGGGTTGCGCAGATGAGCAAGGAGAGAGAAAAAGCGGAAGGGGGATCAGTGCCATTGATGGTTTGGGCCTGCAATATTTCAGAATTGCTTCAAGTTTTTTGGAATTCGAGATGTCGTATGGGAGACAATATGGAATGGTAGGGGAGGTGATAAAATTGGAACTGTATTTGGTTGTACCCAAAGGAGGGGGGGGCGAAAGGGTGGGGAACTGGGGAACGGGCAGGGCAGAAAGGCAGAACCGGGAGGTGGGAGAAGAGGAAGAAACTTGGGGGGGAACAGGGAAAGGCAGTACGAGGAAGGGTGAACCCCTACACTTTTAACTGACCCGGAAGGGGGAAAAACCGGGCAGAGACAGGGAGGTAAAATAGGGGGGTGGAAATGGGGAGGTGGTGTTAACGGGCCTTTTTTTTTTCTTTTGAGAAGTAGAGGGACATTGGGAGGGGGGTCTACGGGGCTCGCGATACTGAGGGGTTTTGGGGAGAGAACCGAAAAGCGAGATTTTGACCGAGGGGTTGAAGTAGGGGCTCTGACCGAGGACAGAAAAAGGGTTAGTACAGGGGGATTAGGGAGAGGTAACCCCGAGGTGGGGGTAGAAATGGGGTAAACCCAAAGGGGGGGGGCGTTTTGAAACACGGGAATAAGAAACACTGGGGGGTCTCCCTTGGAGGGGAGATGAGAAACGCATGGCTAAGGAGACCTTTTGCTCTTTGAGGGAAAGGGTTTCCCCCTCGTTTTTAAAAAAACCCCCGCAACGGGAAGAGACGAATACCTCATGACAGTTAAGCAAGAGGGGGATCGATTTCAAGACGTATTAGAATGGCATCGGCACCACAGACTGGGCATTTGGCGATAGATCTGCAATATTTTGCTGGATGGCCCAAAACGCCAGCAATTCACACTGGGGTGTAGGGATCACCTTTCGAACTTTTAACCATGTCCTGCATAATAAACGAGGATGGGAAATTTTCGGGTGCAAAAGTTTAAACGAGCCACATTGCAGGGGATCATCTCCGCCCCGGGCAGGAAAACGTAAATGTCTACCTTTAGGGTTTGGGGGGGCTTGGGGTTCCCGTTTTTCTAGAATGTCAGTCCCTGTCTGGGAAAATTTTTTGAATATGGGAAGGGGCAGAATACGGTACCCCACAAAATTGAGGGGAAAGATGTTTTTTTAAAAGTGACAGGAAAATATCATAAGGGGAAAAACGAAGGCTCATGAGCCTGGGGAGATTCTGTACGGTAATGATGCGCGACCGCTCTTAAGAGCATAAAAAAATATCTTACCACATGGCGTGGAGTGCCCCCGCCAATACTAGGGCAGAAAGATAGGAAAGAGGAATTGGTCGTAAAGTGAAGAATTTGTCCATTGTTTTATCTGAAACTGAGCTGGGAAAAGGGAGTGAAGGTGTATCGTTTCCGAAGAACGAGAAGGGGAGAATATCACACAGGTAATTTTCGTTGGGGTTTAGGCGTGGGGCCCAAATTTGGGCCGACGTGGAACGGGTCAACCCATTTGAAAATTTCCGCACCGTAGAGGGAAAGGCCGGAAGCATAGTCAAGGAGAGCGAAGGTCCGATAAATCGAAGAAAAGTCACCCAAGAACAAACAGACCCAAAAAAACAACAAAAACAAAAGTTCCAAAGCGACGGGGCAAACGGGCGTACGAAGGGGTGGGACCCGGCAGGCAAAAATCCAGGTAGGATTCTTTTTTGTTTTTTAAAAAAAAAAAAAAAGGGGGTTAAAAAAAGTAAAAAAGGGGGCCGGGGGAAAGTTTTTCCCAGGGGATAAAAGGAGCTCCCCTGAAAGAAAAAAAGAAAGAAAAGAGGGAAGGAAAAAAAATTAAAAAAAATAAAAAAAGGGTTTAAAAAAAGGGGGGCCGGGCCCCAAAAGTTCCTTTGGAAGGAAAAAGGGCCCAGAAACTCTCCCCCCCCAAAGACCCCCCCAAAATATCCGGGATCAGAGGGGGCGGGCAACCCCACCCATTCCAGCAAAACACCCCCAAACCCCCCGCAAAACCCCTGGAAAGGGGGGCCCCCGTATCCCCCCACCAGGAAAAACCCCTTTGGGAAAACCCCCAAAAAGAAAGGGCAAAAAATAAAGGGGAAAGGGAAAAAGGGGGGGGGTGGGGGGGAAGGAAGGGGGGGGATTGGGGGAAAGGCGTCTAGGAAAACCTGGCAACTAGCCAAACCCCCAAAAGGACCCCCCTTGAAGGGGAAGGAGGGGATTTCTTTCCCCCTGGATTTCCCTGTTTGGGGGGAGAATTGGCCAAGGGAAGGGCAGAGGGTGGGGAGGAGGAAGGGGGAAAGGAAAAAAAGGTGAATTGAAAAGGGGAGGAAAAGGAAAAAAGGGGTTTTTTTTGTCTGGAAGGACTTTTTTTTCCCCAGAAAGGGGGTTTTGGAAAACCTAAGAAGGAAGGTTTTTGGTTTTTTCGTAAAAAAACAAAAATGTATTCCCCATATTCATCACTAAAGCAAGTGGTGCTAATACAAGATAATTGGTTAGAGTAATAGATTGCAATACCACCCCCAACTTGGTTTGGTCTGCAGTTGTGAATTGCTGTGTATCCTGGTAGAGGGTAGATATCTATTGTGTCCTGCTTAAGCCAGGTCTAATGGCTAAAACACACAATTTAATACATAAACTAAAAGTCTGCAGGACACTTTAGCTATATCACTTACCCTTAATGGAAAATACTGGTCCTTTGTGTGACTCTGACCTAGGCATCCTCCAGGATTTTTACCCCAGGTGAATAGTGTGCCATGGCTGTTCACTGCTGCAAAGTGGTTGATTCCACTAGTTATACTGATCACCTGTAAGTTGATGCAATAGGTTACTTTCTGTTAAAGAGTCAAATAGAGTGCATGTCAGGTAGAGTGAGTGTGTTAGGGTAGCGGAGACACGAAGTGAATCCTATAAGCTTGCTGATAAACAAGACGGTCTTTTAAAACATGGTGGACTGATAGTGTGACATGACAGGCCACGCAGAGTGGTACCAGGAGTTTCTCCCTGTGGTATCTGTGCATGAGTTGCATGTGTCTGATACATAAACGGAGTGTGTGTGGTCTCCCAAACATGAAAGCAATGATAGTCAGAAACCTAAATGTGGTTTGATAGAAAATAAATTTGTTTTGGTTCAACTCAGACCAGTGATGTTGCCAACAGTTGTGGAGTTGTTGGGGGTCACTCAAAAACTAGTCCAAGAAAGGAATCTTCTTTCAACAAACCGGCTGTATTCCACTGAAGCAGGGTGGCCCAAAAAGAATAACAAAAGTTTCTCTTAGCTTTAGTAATGCATACATGAGAAGGGGTTACTAGCCCCTTGCTCCCAGCATTTTAGTTACCTCTTACGACACGCATGGCTTATGGAGGAAGAATTCTGTTCCACTTCCCCATGGAGTCCAAGAAAGGAATACCAATGGGAAACTGGGAGGTCACAAATAACTGACCAAGCAGCTTAGTTTGCTTGTTGATTGCCCTGAACATTGTGTCCAAGCACACAGCAAAAAATGATGCCCATGTGTTATCAGACACATAACATGTTATACTGAAAGTTGTACATAGAAAACACAGGGATAAGAAGAGTTGAATTTCTGTCTAACCAGCATTACACCTTGAGAGTCCAAAACAACTATGAATGATGAGGTTTATTATTATCCAGTATATCTTTATGCAAAACACTGCTGTGCATTACTAAAAAACTGTTCTATATTCTCCATAATCAATCTCTTGATTTGTATTACTTGCCTTATTAATGTATATATGAAGTTACAGTCAACTTAAATAGTAGACCCATTACCTTAGCATCAGGTGTAATTTCATTCTGTCCAAATAATGTTAAAGGTATTGGTGTAGGAGTCTTTGAATACGATACTTTTGGTCCTATGCCAAGAGGTCCAAAGCCCCAGCTATACACTTGTCCATATTCTGAAAAAATTATAAGAAACTTATAGTATGTATTGTTTTTAATATGGTATACTTTGCATTTACATCAAACAGCAACTGTACTGTACTCAACATATGAGTGCTGTGTCTCCACGAGTTCACCAATCTCCAAGCTTGGTTTTACGCCCTACTGTTTTAATCTTTAGGGTGGGTTTGTTGATCCATGACTTGTGACCTTTGTTCCCAGAAATGCACATAATAATGGTATCACATGATGCATTCTCTGAGCTTAGCTCCCAGATCCATGACTTATGCACAGTAAACCCTTGAATAATGTGCAGGTTCTGTATCTGAAAATTGGCACATTATATGAATTAGTGTTAATTAAAATGATGAACATATGGGAAAAACAGTGGTACATTCATGGGGCCACTCAAAAAGCCATACAAATATTCTTTACATAGGGTTGATGTGCCCTACTGGGAGGCAGAGGTGGATGGTTGTGGTCCTGATTTTGATGCTGATGGAGAGTTATCAGAAGCTGAAGGCTAAACTGCAGTGCTCAAGAATTCTGTAATGCATCACTGCTTTGTTGTACCAAGCAGTTCTTTACAGTACTCGCTCCCATCCTGTTCCTCATTATCATATCTGACAGACAGGAATGTATGCCACAGCACTAAGTCTTCCTTTGCAGATGACACCCAAATTTGCATGACATGTGTCCTCCATTGAAGACACTGCAAGACTCCAGGCAGACATCAACCAAATCTTTAAATGGCCTGCAGAAAACAATGTGAAGCTCATTGGAGAGAAGTTTCAATTACTCCGATATGGAAAAAACTTGAGGAAATTAAAACTGTATTGGAATATAAAATAAATTCCAAGCATGCAACAGAGTGAAAAACTAATGTAAAGGACCTGGGAGTGATAATGTCGAAGGATCTCACTTTCAAAGACCACAACATTGTATCTACCACATCTGCTAGAAAAATAACAGGATGGATAATGAGAACCTTCAAAACTAGGAATGCCAAGCCCATGATGACACTCTTCAGATCACTTGTTCTATCTAGGCTGGAATATTGCTGCACACTAACAGTGACTTTCAAGGCAGGTGAAATTGCTGATCTAGAAAATGTACAGAGAACCTTCACTGCACACATAAGTACGACAAAACACCTAACGGTTGAAGTTCCTCGACTTGTATTCCTTGGAATGCAGGTGGGATAGATACATGATTATATACACTTGGAAAATCCTAGAAGTATTAGTACCAAATTTTCACAAGAAAATCACTCTCTACGAAAGGAAAAGACTCGGCAGATGATGCAACATCCCCTCTCTGAATAACAAAAAAGGCACAATACCGTGACTGGAACGATACACAAATAACCCGCACATAAAAGAGAGAAGCTTACGACGACGTTTCGATCCGACTTGGACCATTGACAAAGTCACACAGGGCGGAGCAGGACCGCTATATATAGGCAGGACGAGGACGATGACGAGGACGAGGACGAGGTGGGTGGTGGTGGTGGTGGTGGTGGGGTGGTGGTGGTGGTGGTGGTGGTGGCGGCCGGCGGCGGCGGCGGCGCGGCGGCGGCGGCGCGCGGCGGCGGCGGCGGCGGCGGTGGCGGCGGCGGCGGCGGCAGCGGCGGCGGTGGTGGTGGTGGTAGTAGTGGTAGTAGTAGTAGTAGTAGTAGTAGTAGTAGTAGTAGTAGTAGTAGTAGTAGTAGTAGTACAAGAATTGTATATAATACCGACAAGATGAAATTAAGACACATGCACAACACCCGGGCATCCCCATCGTAGACGTCCACAACAAAGACAACCAGACGCCACACATGTGTCTTAATTTCATCAGTAGTTGTAGTAGTAGTAGTAGAAAAAGAAGAGGTAGTAGTAGTGGTAGAAGTGGGAAATAAGGAGGACGAGCCAGTCAAATACAAAGGAAGGGGAGCACTGCAAGAGAGCTAGATGCCCACAGAGGGAAAGCAAGCGCACAGAGGTGCGTGAAAGGGGAAGTGGTGAAATAAATGAAGAAGGAACAGAAACACGAGACAGGAGAGAGAAAGACAACCCAGAGGAGAAAAGGAAAGAGGAAAGGGGAAGAGGAAGAAGAAGAAAAAGAAAAAGAAAAAATGAGGATTCAGGTTAAGTCACGGGTGTTCTGAAGTTTGGAGCATTTTACAATGTAGTGGGAGAGGAAGGCATCTACAGAGACGAAGCCAGGGCTAAGGTTCATACAAGGAAAGTTGTGTATTAGAGAGGATTCAACAGACGGCGACTGTTCGAGTTGGAAGTAGGGAAGACAATTTTAGCAGAAGACCAGTCAATAGGATGGCTATGATCTCTGATCAAGTCGGACCGAAACGTCGTCGTAAGCTTCTCTCTTTTATGTGTGGGTTATTTGTGTATCCCCTCTCTGAAAAGCAGGGGTACCACTAGCACGATAACAGACAACACAGTAAGTGTCACGGGTCCGAGACTATTCTACTGCCTCTCAACATACATAAGGGGGATTACCAATAGACTCCTGGCTGTCTTTAAGAAAGGTCTGGACATGCACCTATAGTCAGTACCTGATCAGCCAGGTTGTGGTTTGTACGTCGGTTTACGTGTACCCAACAGTAACAGCCTGGTTGATCAGGCCCTGATCCACCACGAGGCCTGGCCACAGACCAGGCTATGGGGGGCGTTGACCCCAAAATCCTCTCCTGGCATACAGCTAACAACAAGGCTTCTACACCTGTCAGGTCCTCAGTGAAAAATCCTGGGAGTTTGCCAGCAACATGGACTTAAGAACATAAAAAAGAAGGAACACTGCAACAGGCCTACTGGCCTATGTGAGGCAGGTCCAATTCTCCCACTGGCTTAAGCCAATGCCTTGACCTAGTGAGGTCGGACATGTCACTTAATCAACTATCTTTGGTCTAGAGGTATTTGAACTATGATATATAATATGTACATGTTACTATAATAAATTATAATTAGCATCTTACTAAAATAATAAATAATTCGTAACCCTACACAGGATACAACTCTCTTGACACTACTGTGTCACTATATATATCTCTATGCTAAAATAATAAATTATAAATAACATTTGTATAATAATAAATTACAATCAACTGCTTCTCACGACACGAGACCAGTCACATGACACTATTCAGTGTACACTACAACCAGGCCATCTTCAGTGTCCCACGACACCCTTTTCATCTCAGTGTTCCACTACGGTCCTGTGCATATCTCAGTGTTCCACTCCATCATACGTCCCTAAGTGTCACACTACGGTCCTGGCCCAGTTCAGTGTAACACTCCAACCTTTTCTTCATGTAATGTCCCACTAAACAGCATCTGATGATTCCGGCCCACAGTTGATCAGCGTAGACGGTGAGTCCACAGACATCACCGGTAGTCCAGTAAATCCTCTCCAAAGCCGGTTGACAAGATAGGTACGATTAGGTGTTCAGGTACCTACTACGTAGATATGTACCCTGAGGAGTTCAGGTACTTAATGTTGCTGAAGCCAGTAGACGTGTACGATTAGGTGGTCAGGTACCTACTGCTTAGGTGCGTACCCTGAGGTGCTCAGGTACATAATGTTGCTGAAGCCAGTAGACTTGTACCCTTAGGTGTTCAGGTACATACTACTGCGGTGCGTACCGTGAGGCGCTCAGGTACATACTGTTTCTAAAGCCAGTAGACGTGTACGATTAGGTGGTCAGGTACCTACTGCTTAGATGCGCACCGTGAGGCACTCAGGCTCTTACTCCTCTAAGGCCGGCTCAGCAGTCCCCACATTGGGTTTGATGACGTACCCAGTGGTACTGCCGGCCGGCAGGTTAACTATTTAACCGCTAGTTTGGCAGGGGGCCGCAACAGAAGCCAAGGATTCTGTTAGCTTTATTGCGAACACTAATGCACTATTGTCTTGGTTTTAGATAACTGCTAATCAGAACTCCTAAATTCTTTTCATAATCCGTAACATTAAGATCTACAGTACAGTGGACCCCCGCATAACAATCACCTCCGAATGCGACCAATTATGTAAGTGTATTTATGTAAGTGCGTTTGTACGTGTATGTTTGGGGGTCTGAAATGGACTAATCTACTTCAAAACATTCCTTATGGGAACAAATTCGGTCAGTACTGGCACCTGAACATACTTCTGGAGAGAAAAAATATCGTTAACCGGGGGTCCACTGTATTTAGTTTATATGTGGCATGGTTATTTTCCTGTCCAACATTTAGAACTTTGCATTTGTCTATATTAAACTGCATCTGCCACTTCTCCTACCACTGCACCAGTCTATGCAAATCATCCTGGAGTGCTCTGTGTAAATTTTCGAGCAATAACTTTCTATACATATTCTTCTACTTAACCCTTTCAGGGTCAGCAGGCCCTCTCCTAAACTTGTTCCCAGGGTCGAAAAAAAAATATATGAAATGATAGAGAAGCTTTTCCTGATCACAATGACACCAAAAGTATGAAATTTGATGGAAAACTTACAGAATTATGCTCTCGCGAATTTAGTGGTCTCGACGATGTTTACGCATCGGCGATTTCGCCTACTTTGAGCCCTATTTTCAGCCAATCCCAATGTACCAGTCGACAAAAACCATACCTATTTCGCTAGAACTCCATTTTTTCTAACGAATGAGTACAAGAAACCACCCATTTACCGATTTCAACTGACCAATAACGTGGTCAGAAATTGGCAATTTCACACAAATTTCAAAAGATGACAATTTCCAAATAGGGTCCAGAATAAACAAGACAGACATTCCTGGCACTAAAATAACATTTCCTCTGTTCATTACTCATGTCCCCAGGCCTCTGTTACATTTCTTTTGCTTTCCAATTTGAATTTTTATTCTCACCAAAAATAGAAGATTTATGTTATGCAGACTACTGCATTCATGTAGAAAAGGTATAAATAATATCAGAGCACTTATGAAAGAATATTAGACTCACCAGTTGATGTATATTGGACGTGTGGCATGATTTGTTTACTTTTGAACTTTGGCAAAAATCG